AGCAGGAATATTTCAGCCAAATCACTGCCATTGCAGTCTCAAAAGCGTAATACCCTGGACTGCTTCATCAAAAAGCTTCACTTCTTCAGTACTGGCACCATGTGTTTCACATATGAACGTGGAGAGCTGCCCCATGTTGTGGGAGGAGCATGAGCTGCAGGAGTGCCCTGTACTTAGATGAGCGTTGCTGCAAGCTTGGGTTGCAGAGCATGTTGGCTGCAGGAACCCAGCCTCACCTAGCACATTGCTGGCCTGGTTGGTCTCAAGGTTCAGCACTGGTATAGCTGTCACAGACTTTTAGAAATGTCAATACCAATAATGCACAACATTCTGGCTTTTCTTACGTTTTCTGCTTACATTACTATATTTAAAAACTTAGTGCTGCTCAAAAGATCCGAGTAAAACTCTGTAAGGGATATATACTCCAAAGCCTGTTGTTTGGTTATTAATGGGTCACATCCACATGATGTAAATACTCTCTAGTCATTTTGATCTGCCATGTGAAATGAATATGAGAATTTTCTCCATAGCACACACCCTTTTCTCTTATGTTGTGGTAGTGATACTAAAAATAAAATGGTTATAGGTGAATGTGTCACTTCTATTATAATAACAAATAACAATGTTTCCCAAATGATGTGTTTCTAGGTGGATGGAAGTTTGCTTGGAGGAAGAGCTGCCCCCAACTACAGAGCTAGAGGAAGGCTTAAGGAATGGTGTTTATCTTGCCAAGCTTGCGAAATTTTTTGCCCCTAATGTGGTGTCAGAAAGAAAGATCTATGACGCAGAGCAGGTGCGCTACAAGGTAATAACTTTTTGACTGACAAAACAAATTTTGTCTGTATTCCAACTTTTAAAAGTACCCAGGCATGGTTGGTTAACTTTCTGCATCTCTTTGATAAGACTGTTGAAACAAATGGAAGACACATAGCACCAAGAAGCCAACGTGGTAACTTAGAAATGTTTTATCCTTAGGAAAAAAACTATATAGCACCACTTAATGTTTTAAAGCTGAACAAATTACATTTCTGGCTACAGGGAGAATATGAGCTTTACCATTTATACAATCATTTCTCATTAGGAACAGGAGCCAAAAGCAATTCAGAAATTTGACTTAACTATTGCAGTTTTCCATCATTTTGTATAGGAGGACATGAAGCTCATTAGATGTGTGTGTTTATTTTAACAAATTTAACACTGAGAAACAAAAAATAAGCTACCAGTAAATCTTAGCTTGCTAGGTCTGCAAGCTGTTCCTTAACTTCAAGATCCCAAATAGTACAGAAATATATGCATGTATTATCACAACATGTAGAGAAGGGAGAAAAAATATGAAACGGATGTTTTTAGAGTACAATCATTGGCTGTGTGAGAGCTGAGAAATTAAGCTGTTCTGGGTTCTATATGGTGAACACAACCACAGTTAAAAATCCTGATTACATTTAAACGCTTCTCTTGAAAATGTCCAAAACTTGATTTCAGGCTTCATTTCACCTGTTACTCAGACTGTTTAAAACAAACAAATAAAAACAAACACCAAAACCCACATCACCATCATCCCTGCGCCCCTAGCACTCCCCCCACCCCCCAAAAAAAAAAAAAACAAAAAAACACCCCCAAAACATCAACCCTTTTCCACTTCCGCTGCTGCATATGTAGGCTGTAGGGAAGGTCAGGTATTCATGTAGATCTGAGGAGTGGCTAAGAGGTCCTTACCTGTTCTCCTTCACAGTAGTGCTGAGCAGGGTTACCACTTGGAGGTAGTGGTTCCTGGTATTTGACAGCCAGCCTTTACTCCCAAAGACTATTGAAAGGCTGTACAAAAGACCACTTCAGACAGACTATCCAGATGGTACAAATCTGGCTTAAAAACGTTAGATAAAAAAAAAATGAGCTGGACAGTGTGGGACTGTTGGTACATTAGGACACTTCATTAATAGGATTGCAGCTATGATGCTTTGGTCTCCAGGTTCAAAGAAGGGAAAATTTCCTTGAACTCAGCTTTAAGGTATAAAATTGGGAAGCAATAGGAGGATAAATAATTTGAGGATTTGCTTTGTGACTTTTATCATCTTCTCCTTCTATGTTTCTGGTAGAGATCTGGTCTTCATTTTCGGCACACTGACAATACTGTGCAGTGGTTAAGAGCAATGGAGTCCATTGGTCTGCCTAAGGTAAGCTTCTAAATTTCAGCAAAGAAATCGGCTCAAGGCATTGACTGAGATCCCCATTCATCTGCTTGAGCATAGGTGGTTGCTTACAGTAAGTCTGTGGGAAAGGGGCGATTCAGCAAACAAACCTGAAGAGAAGGTAATGCTGAAAGCAGTGGGAGTGTCAGTTACGTGCTACTGCTGCCAGTGTGTGGGCTGAGGCTGCTGTGGGTCGAACTGCTCAAGGCTCTTCTCTCACAGAAAGACAAATGGGGATGCTAGCAATGTTTTAGCTATGTATTATTGCTTGTACAGTCTCTGTGAGGGCCTGAAAGCAATATGGTTTAAAACAGAAAATGTAAATATCTGCTTCCTTTCTCATCATGTCTCTTGCTGCCTCTTCCTCTTAATGTATGTCCCAGTTTCTCTGCCTCTGCCCTGTTTCCAGACTGTCCTTGCACGTTCCAGTGCATCTGCGTGGCTATGCTGCTGCTCCTCTTCTGCCAGCTGCTTTCTTGGGTCACCTCTCATATTTATCTTCCTCCTTGTGGGTCTTCGCTTGTCATCTCCCCCCTCTGCTGCTGTTTCTGGGCACCAGTGAGTCTTTTTTGGATGAAAATCCTTTAAGAAAGGGCTGCATGAAAACACCTACTCTACTTGTTTGGACCTTTCAGCACCCATACACAACCTAGGGCAAGTACTCTCTCACCCAGGCTGCCCAGCAGGTGCCCCCAGGTTGCATGGGTGGGGACACTGTTGGGCACAGGAGGGATGCTCAGGTGGCAGCCTGAACTGCTGCAGAGACTACTGGCCAGTCACCGTGGGAAAGGGCACCCATGACCGCCATCGGAAGTGCCATAGACAGGGAGGGCCTTGCCTTTCGCAGGCCAGGGGTTTTTTTTAACTTGATGTTTGCATTTAAAAAACTGATAGCTATGCCAGGGCTGAAGCTTAAGAGCAGCAAGGCCAACAACATGCTAGGCAAGGCTGATTCCTGCAGCTGATGTACTCTGTAACCCAAGCCTGCAGCAATGTTCATCTAAGTACAGAGCACTCCTACACTATCCTCCAACTTAAAATTAATGATTTTTTTTTCCCAAACTTGATTCTTCTGTTCAGCTGGCTCTTTTCCATCCTGCCATCCCTTCTCTGAAAGATTTTGCTTCTGTTGCGAAGGGTGGGCATGGCCAAAAGCTTTCCCAAGTCTCCCTCCCAAAGCTGTTGTGAGCAAATCATGAAGAGGGCACTGTGCTCCTGACATAGGCAGTGTTGTCCTATTAACTGTGGGACAGCTCAGCTCTGAGTGCCTGGCTTGTGCTGGAAACATGCTGCCAACTCTCACGGTTAGCTAAGTCTTTCATTTTATTTTTGTGGAGAAACAGTGTTTAGTGACTGGGACCAAGGCCAGGAACAAATTAGTGGTAGAACCAGAATTGGAACTTATGATGTGACTTTTGGCTAAATTACTTATATTCAGAGAGAAATATTTTATTTATTTAATCTTTCTCTGTAAATGATGTACGCACAACGTTGTGGGTGCTGGCAATTAGAATTTTACATATTTAAACCATACTTGATAAGATGGGCTTGCCATGAGGCTTTGCATCCAAAGTTTTGGCTGTCTGTGGGAAAACAAGCCCTGCTACCTGAGCTTGTGCTGAAAGACCTTTTCTTTAAAAAGCCTGTTGAAATGCTGTCAGATTATTTTCCTTTTTTCCCCCCCTCTTAACTAGCTTTTATGCTTTATTAAATACTTCCTTATGGAAACTACTGATAAAGTTAAAATAACATCAGAAGAGTCTTTGATTTATAACTGTATAGAACTCACAGCTAAAATTCTGTTAAGTTTAAGATATGGTTCTGCAGAGAGTTCATTTTACCTACTTTTCTTCTCAGTAATGTCGTCTCCTTTAACTGTGTGCTCTTTGTTTTTTAGATCTTTTATCCAGAGACTACGGATGTTTACGATAGGAAAAACATCCCTAGGATGATATATTGTATTCATGCACTAAGGTAACTGGTGATCAGAGTAAAAGTTAAAGTAACTGCCAAATCTAGGATTGTAAACCTTGAAATGGCTTCAGGGTAACCAGTATATCAAAATCTGTCAGAATTTACAAGTTCATTAATTTAAAGTTGGAGACAAAAGTTCAACTTTGTCAGCACTATTGGCCAAATTATTTTCAGAATAGAAATAAAGGACTAATGAATTCAGCACAGACATAGCTCTCTCTGTGAGTACACCCCTTACATAGTGCGCATGTTTCAAAACACATACTTGCAACAGGAACCAAATAAATTAACAAAACCTTAACAAATTACTACTATAACCTTGGGGCAGACATGCTGATCAGAGTGAAAATGATGATGTTTTTCTTGTCTCAAAATAGAGGCAAATAATTGCTATATTCTGAGGTCATTAATGTAAAAATAAAAATTTTTCCAAGATTTTAATGTTCTGAGGTTGGCTTTGAATGTAAAGTCAGGAAGACTTCTGCCACACCACTGAGGGTAGAGCTTAAAAAGTTTTTGTCCCGCCTTAACTATTTTCTTGATGTTTAGTACTAAAAGTAACAAACATCTGCCTCACGCTGTCCCTGGAGTGACAGGTAGTGTTGTTAGCAGACAGTTCCTCTCTTGTGGCTCTCCTAACTCATTTCATGTATATGAAGACCTTTTCCTAGCATTACTTTCTTGCAACTAGGCTTTCAGAGGACATAATTAACTTACAACCTTACAAACTCTTTAATGTGTTCCTAATGGTGTTCAAAGTCACATCAGCTGCTCCAGAGCTGTAGGTCAGAAACCGCTCAATGCATGCTGTAATTGAATTTTTTTAAGGGCTGATCCTTGAAACGATGTGCCTGCTTTTGCACTAGGCTATGTATACTCATTGCCAAAAAATAGGGCACATCACCAAAGTTTATTGTATTTCTTTCAAACGCTAGGTGTTTGGAGTTGACACCCTTAGTACTTTTTTATCACCTTGCACAAGTGTTGTCATTTGAAATTATTATGCATACATAACATTATATATAGTAACGTTAAGTGCACAGTATCAGCAGGACTGTTGGAGAACAGCTTTCACCTAAAACTTTATAGTGTGGTCTGTTCTGTTAGCAAGTGCCTTGTGTAAGCTTGAAGTGATTTCCTGAAGTGGGTGCATGGGTGTCTAATGTTAACCAGCTCAGTCTGACATGGTGGGCTGTGGGCCCCTCTGGCCTTGTTATGGGTCAGCTCAGATGTTTTGCAGGATGTGGAAGAACACAAAGAGATTTTCCAATATTTGCTTTCTTAGGTATAGATGAAGACTTTATCAACCGTGGGTTTTAATGCTATGTGAACAGTAAGCCCATCAGCTAGACACCTTCTTAAGAACTGCCTAATCATTACAATGACAATAACTCTTTCATCCTGAATGAAATTTTGCTGTGGGTTGACTTTTGGTAGTTTTCCTTTCTCCATCTTGATGTGCTGCAGAATTTATGTCAGTATCAGAAATAGTCTGTCTCAACTTTCATGTCCAAATTTGTCTTGTTTAAATTACTTTTTCTTGCTGCATATCAACACAAACCTATAACTCTATACTTACAAGCCATTATTTTAGAAATAGAGTTCATACTAAATGTGTGATGCCACAATAAAGGGAAATAGGCCTCCAGTGCTCTTGCTTATAGTACTTTCCCGCCAAAGTGCAGGCCCTGTGCCTGCAACCCATGCAGGATGTAAGAATCAAAGATACAATTGTTGACTTTCTTTTATTTCCCATGCCTTTTCCTAAAATATTTAAGTCCTTCACTGGAGTCTTTCAAACTGAACTCCAGTGTCAAGACTGAATGGCACACATCGTACATTTAAAGCAGTCTGGGAAATAGTTAAAGACAAGACATTTGCTTGACCAGCAGTATTCCCAGTTGAGTTGGCATTCAGAGGGACACTGAGCTTCAGGAGTCTAGTTATGTCTCCCTTCTGCTGTTGTGGTCACAGGTGACCTACTGGTCTGTCTCCTCACCTACCCTGGAAAAGCCCATGTCCCTGTTGTCTATCACCACAGCATCTAGAAATAGCAATTGCAAGCAAGCTTTTCACCCTTGCCCCTGCAGCATATGCACATGTCCCCCCATATGTAGAATCACCACTGGGTTTAAATGCTAAATTCTAAGGCATCTTGGAGCATACGCTTAAATTTCAGTCCCATAACTTGTGAAAATTGAACACTTTCTCAGAGGTGACAGGTTGACCTACTTCCTATTCTTTTTAGTTGTTACCAAGTCATTACTCCAAAGCAATGTGATTTCTGAGCTTTCCAACAAAAGTGTATAAATTTAACACAGTCAGTTTTCTTATTCTCATTCTTGAAAAACCTGAAGCCATCTTTAGCTGATTTTTTTTGAACATGAATTCACTCATGCACAGTCAATGTGTATAACTTAAGTGCTCAGAATTCATAAGATTACATTTAATTGCTCCTTTAAGAAGCATGAAATAACTTCAATTGTAGGTAAAAGGAGCAAACAGCTCTGTCTGTCCAAAGGGTCTCCATTGCATGTGGAATGTTAACATTTCAGATGGAAAGTTTTTGGTTATTTGGGGTTTTGCTTATCTTTGGGTTGCTAGAGGGCTTGAAGATAGATGGTGATTCTAAGCAAGATTGTTTAAATAAAATTACCTTCTGGCTTTTCTCTTTTTGGGATATCAATTCTTCAAGACCAATTTGAAAAATACAAAAGCATAGGTCTCATTTTGTGCACTGTTTTTCTAGGGAAAGCAAATTTGGACTTCGTTCCTGGACCCAATGTGATTAAAAGGTGCTTCACTGAAATTAAGATGCTAACAGTGACCTTTGTTTATAAATAGTAGTGCTTATGAGATTTTTTTTTCACTTAGAAAATTTAGTTTTCAAATTATCTTTGCAAGCACATCATTACTACATCCTGAACAAACTATCCCAGTCAATCTGGACAGCTTCAAAACATTGCTTTCCTAGGAAGCAGTAGAATAACAAGTGCAAGTCTTTAAAAAAGTGTATGATTTTCAGGTCTGTTTTTACAGCATATTATACGTGAGCTAAGCATAAAACAAGACCCAGCAGACTATGCCTGCTATCAACTGCAGTGCAAAGGAAACTTCACCTAGGAAAGCCCTTTCCCTTCTGTTTCTCCCATGCTCCTGATGCTTTGTATCCAGCTTTCCTAACCCCCGATTATCCTCTGATTTTGATTTTGTGATTTCCCTGAGGTTCAAGTTAAAATGTAAAAGTATTAAACAAGCTGTTTGAAGTGAAATTATATCGTAATACAGAGTAGAAGTGTCCTTGTGCGTCCTGCAAGGCTCAACACTCCTCCTGGAGGCACTGCTGAGACAG